CCCTCCCCGCCGCCGCCCGCCGCCCGTCGGAGGAGGTCTCCGCGCCCTCCCGCCCTCCGACCTCGCTGAGCGGGTTGCGATCCTCCGTGTAAACAGGGTCCTCCCTCGCGGCCCGGAGGCTCACCTTCCCTCCCGGGGCGCCTGCGCCCTGCGTTCCCTCCTGCCTGTCCGTCTCCATCCCTTCCCTCTCCACGCCCCAGCTTTCAGTTTTCTTTTCTCTCCGTCACCCCCCCGCCCCATCTTGAATTCCTAAAAATCAGAAGCGGAGTCGGGAAGAGCTGTCGCGAAAGCCGAGGGCAGGCGCTGCGTGGCCTGGCATCGAGAGATCTGGCCTCCCTCGCCAGCCCCTCTCCGGGTCTGATCCCTTTGCCCTTGCCTCTCGAAGCCAGCCCTCCTCTGATTTCCCCAGGGAGTCCGTGGAGTGTCGCCTGGGGAAATTAACGCGGCCAGGCTTTGGGGGCGGGAATCGGTCTTGGGGGTTGCGGAGGAGCGACTGACAGTTCTGGAGTCCTGGGAAGTGGAAGGGGAGCCAGTGGAATCAGAGGCAGTGGGAGCAGGGACTCGTGTGAGAGCTGACAAGATGTGTCGTGTGGCCCTCCGGTGGGCCGTGCAGTGGCATGTGACTTCACTGAGTAGGTGTCTTTGTATGTCTGAAATCCAGCGAGTGTGTGGGACTGCCAGTGGCAGCTACATGTGTGCATGTGAAGACGGAGATGTTCTGGAGCCATGTTGCTGCTTTGTGAGTGCCGAGTGGCTCTGCTGTGATCTCGCGCTGGCTCAAGAGAGTGCCAAGATGCCAAAGAGAGTGCCAAGATGCCAAACACTGGGCCATGTGGCTCCAGATCGCGTGGGCGCTCTGTGGCTGTGAATCGTGTTAGCCTGTGGCACTGTGTGTGCCCGCATCGAGGCCAGAGAGCTGCTGAGCAGAAGGCCTAGGGCCCAGATCACATACCCCCTGCAAAGGGATCATGGAAGGACAGTGACCAGAAGAACAGGACAGGGGAGGAGAGGGCCCGGCCCCTTGGACTTTGGTCTCTGGTACTCTCCCTCCCCACCTCCCTCCATCAGCCCAGATGGGAAACTTGGCCAGGGGCACACAGACCTGGTGCTAGACCTGGTGCTGGACCCAGAGAAGCCAATTTAGAGGGCTCTCAGCCCAGGGTGTAGGGAAAAGCCCACCAGGTGGGAGAGGTGCCGAACCTACCTGTGGCCAAGAAAGGAAGACGGCAAGATGGGATGAAGTAGAAACCTAGGTAGAGAGGGTCTGGTGTTTTGTGCTTCCCTTGAAGTTAGAAGGGAATTGAGTCCGCCCCAGGCCACTTGTTACCCAGCCCCTTTCCTACCCAGTCGTGTTACAGAAAGCCACACCCTCCGTGGCGCGATGCTCACACAGCAAACTTCCTCCACATGGAGTCAGGTGCACGGTTGGCACACCAGCACCAGATCAGATGGCGCAGGACACCTACGGTGTCTTTAGCACTTGCCAAGGGGCAGAGTGGGGAGAGGACTGGAGTCTGGACCAGAAGGCTGGTGTGGGGTGCAGAGGGGTTGACCATGTGCGCTGCTCCCTCTGCCTGATCAGAACAGGGCATCGAGTGTGTGTCTGCTGGGATCTTGGGATGAAGGAGGGGGACTCTGGACAGGTACCCCCATCTACCTTCCCATCCCCCAGACACAGACGTTGTGTGCTGCTCTCTCTGCCCACCTGGTCTAATACTCTTTCCCTTCTGAGCTTCTTTTACCCTGCTGGACCTTCATTTCCACTGGCAGTGGCTATTTCTCTTCCACCCCACCAGTGTGTACACCACAGGAGAAGGACTGACGAACTGTTTGGGGATAGAGATGGGTCAAGTGGGCCGAGGTGTGAGGCCCAGTGTACTTGAGTGCTCTCCCTATTCCTGAGGTGTCTGGCCAGCAGGAGCAAGAGGCTTAGGGACACGTAGAGACCGTGAGAAACAAAGGCCTTAGAAGCTGAAGGGGAAGCTGGGAGGGTTGCCCAGGAGAGAGAGACTCAGGAAAAGGCCCCAGAGGTAGACAAAAGGCAGAGCGGGCAGGCGGAGGGACACGGAGGGGGTGGGGCACGGAGGCGCCTGCAGATGGAGGGGATTTGCTTTACTGAGCTGAACTCTTCGGCCAGACAGGTTGGAAGAATTTGACAGGGTGGGAAAGGCTATCCGCTCTCCTTTTTTCATTTTTCCACACTGTGTGGGTTGTAGGGAAGGGATCTGGTGTTAGCCCCTCTGTGGCCCTAATACCAAGACCTGGGACCTCTGTTCTGTCATCTGTGACTTCCTTCACATTGCAAACCTCTGAGCTCCCTCAGCGAAGGAGAAAGGGCTAGAGGGATGCAAGGGCTGCCTGGCGTTGTGGTGAGAGAAAGGTGACTTCTTCCTTGTAGGACCTGAAGGAGAAGAAGGAGAAGGTGGAGGAGAAGGCAAGCCGGAAAGAACGGAAGAAAGAAGTGGTGGAGGTATGGAGGGGTTGGGGGAGAGGCCCACACCTGCCTGTCTTCTCTCCCCATTGTCTCACCCTTCATCACCTTCCTGGGGTCTGGGTCCTGCCATGTCCTCAACCCCTCCCATCATCACTGTCCCATCCTGAGCCCCCTCCCAAGTCCTTGAGTCACCCAGTGGGTGAGGGCACACAGCCACCCTGATGCCACTCCCTTTCCTGATCCCCACAGGAAGAGGAGAACGGCGCTGAGGAGGAAGAGGAGGAAACTGCTGAGGATGGAGAGGAAGAGGATGACGGGGATGAAGAAGGTGGGGAGCGGCAGGGGAGACTGGGCTGAGAATTGGGGCTTACAGGAGCAGCGCCAGGGTGGGTTTGAAGACTTGGAACAGGGCTGAGGGCGACCACAGGGGCTCTCTGCCGGGGCTTCCTGCCCTTCCCCAATGACCCGTTTCTGGCTCCTCAGATGAGGAAGAAGAAGAAGAGGATGACGAAGGGCCCGCGCTGAAGAGAGCTGCCGAAGAGGAGGTTTGGGCTGGCTGTGGGCCTGAGGGGCGCCAGGGATGCAGCAGGGCTGGGCGCCTGATGAATTTGGACCCAGATCCGATTGGTGGCACGGGTGGGGGCTGGAGCAGGCCGGCAGGGACAGGGGCGGTCCCCTCTCTATTTTACAGCTACCCAAACTCTCTCCCTCTCCACAGGATGAAGCAGATCCGAAGCGGCAGAAGACAGAAAATGGGGCATCGGCATGAGCCCCTACCACGGGGCTGGGGGTGGGAGGTCCCTCGGGGTCTGGAGGTGGGGGTGGGAACAGACCAGTACAGCCACCTGTCACCTGGCTCCTTGCTCTGGGCTGTGCCCCAGAGCTGCCACCCTCTTCTTTCTTCCCAGCCCTCTCATTTCTGCCTCTCCAGACACTGCCCTGCCCTCACTATGCCATCCCTCCACCTCCTGAGCTCCCCAGCTGGTCCCGTCCCCCCATCCTTCCTTGCTCTCTTCTCCCTTCCCCCACTCAGCCTACCGTCCCTGTCCTGGGGTAGCCTCTCCCCTCTGCCCCCTGCATCCCACAGCCTCACATCCTATCCATCCCTCTCCTGCCTGATCCCTGGGTCTCCCTCAGATCCCCTCCTCTCAGACAGCGCCAGGCCGGGGTGGGGCCGGGGTTGGGGCCGAGCCCCACAGCTGCCCCCCTCCCCTCCCCTTTTTGTATAATTTAATAAAGAAATGGTCGCGCTTCTGTTTTTAACCTGTGTCCTGCCTTGGGGGGCAGTTTCAGTCAGTGGGAGGGAAGGGTGGAGAGGGAGGAGGGAGGCTGACCACACCTGAGATTTGGGGAGTTATACCAACCTTCCCCAGGTGGATTGGGAGCTCAACTCTTGAGAGAGAGAGAGCTGACCTGTGTTCCTGTTTGGGTTCTTGGGGATGCTCCTCCCCAGTAACACTTCCCTGCTAACCCACATGAGATCTAGACACTGCTGAGCCCAGTGGAAAGCTACCAGATCTATTGTGCTGAACCAGGCAAATGGAAACAGCCTTAGAAACAGGAAGTCCCGCCCCTGGAGTGGGACAGACTGGTAGGCCTGGGTCTCACCCTTCTAGGATCTCCCAGGAGAAGGGCCTGGCAAAGAAGATATCTTCTGCCTGACATTCCGGAAGCAAGTTCTTTCTGACAAGGGCGAACCCTGGGGCTTCTTATTCCTGGGCTTGTCCCTTTGTCACCCGCTCCTCAGCTTTCCCTGCTGGGCTGCTGGGCTGGGCTGGGCTGGGCTGGGCTGGGGTAGGGAGCAAGAGCTAGCTTGTAACCCTGGCTGTTTTTCTTGGGTTTGACTTGCTCCACTATTTTTTTTCCAAATTTGTGTCACGTTTACCCTCTCAGTACAGAACCTATAGATTGGAGGAAACTTTGGAGGGAGGAGAGGTACCCACAGCCAGTACTGTTAACCAACAAAAAGAGACCCATAACACCCAGGGTTAGAACCACATAGCACAATTTTTCTGTCTTCACACTCCCTGGCCATGGTAAACTAATTTCTCTGAGCCTCAGTTTCCCCATCTGTACAATGGAGGGAAGCATTAGATTTTCCAAGTTACCATATGTAGTGTCCAACATGGTGCTTGGGGCAGAACGCAGAAGGAAGCCTCCTTGTGTAACTTCTACCCCCTCCCCCTTGGCATCCCCTTGCCCAGGTCTGTCTTGTTGGGTGCAGGGCAGCTTCCTGCCCACTCTGATCCAGAAGCCACACGGGCCGCTGGGTAGCAAGGTCTACAGGGTGAGGGAGTTCTGAGAGGAGGAGCACAGGAAAGACCCAGCAGGTGATGTGCAAGTAGGTAGCAAGGGAGGGACCGTGCACAGCGCAGGGAAGGGGCGAGGAGAGGGCTGTGGGGAGACCCAGGTCTGAGGAAGTAAACAAGGAGACTGCCACCACAGGGGTGCAGGGTGCTGCTGCTGGGAATCGGCCCCCTCAGACTTTCCACTGCGAAGTGAAACCATGAGCCCTGGGTGTCGGGGGGCGGGCAGCGTGGAGGGGAAGTGGGGAAGGTGGAGGGAGACTTAAGGACCGGGTCAGGGCCCTGGAGCAGCACAGCAGCATCCAGCTCCTGACAGCCACCTTTCCTCCAGACTGCGCTCTGCCATCGACCAGCCTGGTCCCCAGGGTGCCCCGGCCCCTGGCCTCCAGCCTCCATCACTGGTCCTCCCCACTCGCTCCGCAGGCCTCTGAAGGGTTCCCTTTCCGCTAGCTCCCCTCTCTCCATTGCTCTCTGCACAACTTTTCTTGGTCGCCTCTCCCCTTGCTGAGCTCCCTCTGGAGGTTGAGCCTGGCTCAGCCACAGGGGAGATGGGGTGGACTCAGTTCCTGGGCTTGGCGCTTCTCCAACTGCTGTGGGTGGCTCCAGGTAAGGGGGGATGGGGGCAGGGTGCCCTCTCGACCCACGGGAGGGTCAGCAGAGATCTCCATGGTCTCTCAAGGGTCCCTTGGTCCTGAGCTCTGTGGTGGGGTCAGGGGCGGTTTTTCCACTGCCAGAGCCTCTCCTCAGTCTCCCCCGTGGCAGGGAAAGGAAGGGCACCCAAGCCCTTTTCTGTCCTGTTTCTCCCGTGGGAAGCGCCGAGGCCCGTCTGTAGCCCTGTCTCTTGACTCATGGCTCCTCTCTCGGCCTCTCTTTTGCTCCCGCAGTGGAGGCTTCAGGGCCTGAGAAAGAGGTCACTGTGGTGTGGGCTCAGGAGGGGGCTCCTGCCCAGCTCCCCTGCAGCCCCACAATCCCCCTCCAAGATTCCAGCCTTCTGCGAAGAGGAGGGGTCACTTGGCAGCATCAACCAGACAGGTACGCATCCCAAACCTGGAAACAGGTGCTCCCAATCCCGCACTAAGGGCATCGGGACACAACCCCCTTCCCACTTCCAAGCCTGCCCTGTACCCTCCCCTGAGGGGCTCGCCCCCCGCCCCAACCAGTGACCAGTCCTCCCTTGCCCTCTGCCTGCAGCCTGCCTCCTCACACTTGCATCCCCTAGCAGGCAACCTCATCAGCAGTGCTTGGTGCCAGCCCAAAGGCAGAGGGCACAGGGTGGGGGTGGGGATGGCCCGTGCTTCAGGGATCCTTCGGGGCTGGCTGGTGCACTCTCAAAGTGTGGCTCGCTGCGTCTTCTTGGCTTCTCACCCCTCGACGTTCTCAATCCCACTCTCTCCCCTGCACAGTGGCCCAGCCGCTCCCGCCCCCGCTCGGCCCTGGAACCTCGGCCCTCGTCCGGAGGAGGCGCCCACCCCGCAGCGCTACACGGTGCTGAGCGTGGCCCCCGGCGGCCTGCGCAGCGGGCGGCTCCCCCTGCAACCGCGCGTGCAGCTGGACGAGCGCGGCCTCCAGCGCGGCGACTTCTCGCTGTGGCTGCGCCCGGCCCTGCGCGCCGACGCCGGCGAGTACCACGCCGCCGTGCGCCTCCTCCGGGACCGCGCGCTCACCTGCCGGCTCCGTCTGCGCGTGGGCCAGGCCTCGAGTAGGTGGGCGGGACAGGGACAGGGACAGGGACTCGGGCTGGAAACCAGGCCTTCCCATTCCCAGGGCGGCAGGAGGGGCTGCTGCCGGCGCTGACCCCTAGATGCTGCCCGAGGGCCCCAGGAAGGAGTGAGAGCAGGTACCCCCAAGAGCACTGGAATGGGACCTAGAGAGGCTGTTCACCCTCGAGCCCCTCCCCCACCCTCAGCGGGAGTGCGGGGTGGAGGTGGGGGGGTTGGGGGAGGGCGTAGGGCTGAGGTGCTTCATTGCAGGTCTGTGCTCAGGGCGGTGGGCTTAGTGGGGGTCCTCAAGCGAGGTCTGCAGAAAGGGAGGAGCCAAGTAAATCCGAGGCAAGGGGCAGAGCAAAGCAGTGTGGGAACTCTTCAGGGGTCCGCTTTAACACCTCTGGCACTGAGCTGGAGGGGAGGAGGGAGAAGCCCAGTGGCCTCCAGCTTGGTTGGCGGCTGGGGTTGATACAGCCTTCCTTGTCCCTGCCCAGTGACGGCCAGCCCTGCCGGACCTCTCAGGACCTCTGACTGGGTCATCTTGAACTGCTCCTTCAGCCGTCCAGACCGCCCGGCCTCTGTCCACTGGTTCCGGGGTCCAGGCCATGTCCCTGTCCAGAAGTCTTCGCACCACCACTCAATGGAAAGCTTCCTCTTCCTGCCCCAAGTCAGCCCCTTAGACTCTGGGGTCTGGGGCTGCATCCTCACCTACAGAGATGGCTTCAAAGTCCGGATCACACACAACCTCACTGTTCAGGGTAACTCCCCTCATCTGCCTTTACACCCGACCACAACCCCTTCCTGCGCGCATCTCTTCCCCTGACTCATGGGTCCCTGAACTAGGTTCTCGGCAGCGAACGTCACTCCTGGGCCCTCTGGTCCTTGGCCAGTGCATGACCCCATCCTTTCCTCTGCAGGAGCCAGCTGCACTGGCTCCCCTTCTAGCGCCATCTGGCCTCACCTGCCAGCCTTGGGTCTGCTGGCCTGGCCCACTCAGCCCACTCTGGGGCTCTGAGTGTCCTCAGTTTATGCATCTTATTCTGCTCCTTAGCACGCTTCACAGCCCCCATCTCCCTCACTTTTCTACCTCCCTTCCCTACCAGGTACACAACTCTCGACCCCTGGACTTCTTCTCTTCAGCACACTGGCCCCACTGCATCCCCCTGGGCTTTAACTTTGGGTTCTATTTCTTCTCTAGGTCCAGACCCCCCAACCCCCTTGATGGTATACACTGGAGCAGGTTCCAGAGCAGAATTACCATGTCACCTGCCTCCTGGTGTGACAACCCAGTCTTCCCCCATGGCCCTGTGGGCGCCTCCTGGTGGAGGCCCAGACATCCCCGTGGCTGGAGACAATGGCAACTTCACCCTTCGACTAGAGGCTGTGAGCCTGGCCCAGGCTGGGACCTACACTTGCCGTATCCATCTACAAGGGCAGCAGCTCAGTGCCATGGTCACTTTGGCAGTCATCACAGGTCAGCACCAGGTGGGAAAGGAGCAGCTCCTGTCCCAGGGGAGCAAGGACAGGGAGGCAAGGTTGGCTGGTTAAAAGCTAAGTAAATCTACCCTATGATCCCAGGCCACTGGGCACAAGCTGTGGCCTCTTTTCTCACCCCATGATAAAGAACTGAAACTGAAAATCTCCCTTGAGTCACAGAATAAGTGTTCCACTCTTCTCTAAGGGACTCCCCTGCTCTGAATTGGTGGGAGGGTCTGAGAAGTTAGAAGAGGAGGTGGCAAAATTTGAATGTTTCAAAAGAGGTGAATAGATTTCTAAAATCCTCATCTGTTTTGGGGTCAGGGTTTGGGTTAAAGTTGCAGGAAGTGGCCTGGATTTGGAAGGAGTTAATAAATCAGTCCCTTGGTCAGCAAATATTTACTGAACAAGGGTTTTCCAAGACAGTATAAAACAAACACAGAAAAAAAAATTACTCAAAGTGTGTGTTCATTGATTGGTGATTATTAGCCATGACAGGTTAGCTACATCGGCAGTGTTCCCGAGACCACTGAACATAGCATCACTTAGTAGGTGCTTAATAAGGTACCTTAGCTGCATGAATAAATGAAAAAGCTAACGAATAGTTCATGTCCTGAATGCAATCTTGACTTTCCACCTACTTCCTGAATATCTTTCCCTCGCTATTAGACCACTCCTTAGCCTCACCCTGGACCCTGCCTTTTCGTTATGTCAATCCTCTTGCTGATTTAGCCTGTTATTTATGCTGCTGGACTCCCAGTGCCTCAGATCCTGGTCT